TGTCACGGTAGCAGAGCAGCTGGAACAGGCCGAGGACCCAATTCCAGCCGCCAGTCAGTGCCTCCCTGCAGGACCCCCTCCCCAGCGCTGGAACCAGGCACAGAGGGGATTGAGCCAATCAGGAAGCGGACCAACCGGGGCTCTTGCTGAGCTGCAACTGTCTGCTCGGCAAAAACCCCACTGGACTTGAATATTAAATAGTGTGAGATTCTCAGAAGGCTGGCTGCAGCTGGCTGCCGGAGGAATTACATGGTCCATAAGCGCAGCCCCTGAGCCTGTCTAACCAGCCCGACCCAACCCTCTTCAGCTGCCTCCACATAGCGAGCAAATGGAAACTGGAGAGAGAGCCGGCAAAAGGCAGCCCTCCTTGGGCAAGGCCGCCTGCATCCTCACCGGAGCATCTCGGGGCTTCGGCCGCAGCTTAGCCCTGTTGCTGGCTCCGCGGTTGAAGGCTGGCTCCGTCCTGATCCTGGTGGCCCGATCGCAGGGGGGGTTGGCAGAGCTGAAGGATGAGATGCGGTGCAGTTTCCCCGACTTGAAAGTGAGTTCAGTGCAGGCCGACCTGAGCACGGAGGACGGACTACAGCCGGTGCTCCGAGCAGTCCAGGACAAGCTGCCGGCAGCGGCTGATCTGGAGCGGCTCATCATCATCAACAACGCAGGATCACTCGGAGATATTTCCAAAGCTTTTGTGGACTTCACCAGCCCAGCTGAAGTCAACAGCTACTTTGCCTTCAATGTCACCTCGGCGCTGTGCCTCACATCCTCCATCCTGAAGGCCTTCTCAGGGCGCCCTGGCTTGTGCAAGACTGTTGTAAACATCTCTTCACTGTGTGCCCTCAAGCCCTTCAAGAGCTGGACGTTGTACTGCACCGGGAAGGCCTCACGGGACATGATGTTCCAGGTCCTGGCACTTGAACAGCCTGAGGTGAGAGTCCTCAGTTATGCCCCCGGTCCTCTGGACACAGACATGCAGCAGCTGGCTCGCACGTCATCAGGAGACCCAGAACTGCGCCAGCACTTCCGCAACATGAAGGAGCGTGGCCAGCTGCTGGACTGCAGCGTGTCAGCCCAAAAGCTAGTGCGTCTTCTGCTGGAGGACACCTTCGCCTCTGGGGCACATATAGACTTCTATGAAATCTAAGCCCCGCCCCCGCCGGTCTTTCCGCGCCTCGCCTGGAGCCGAGCTACCGATAAACGCCTTCAGCGTCCCAGAGGGGAAAACTCGCTGCACTTTGACTCTTATTTCAAACAGCTACCGGGGGGCGAGCGGGCCGCCAACAGAGGGGCCCCGGGCGGGGAACCGCGGCCGTGGGGTGACCCTGGGGCCCGTCGCCGAGCCAAGGTTTTCCCCGCACGGGGCAACAGCCGGGCCGGGCTGGGAGAAGGGGGGGGGGCAGCAACCGCCGGCCAGAACAGCGCGCAGAGGGAAGGTAGTTGCTTAGAAAACGCTTCCGTGGCCGGCGCATGCCCACTCGCAGCGACGTGGCTCATCCGGGGGCGGGGCTACTGCGCAGGGCGAAGAGAGCGGTCACATGGTCCCGAGTATGGCGGCCGCCACGCCGCGTTACCCATCTTGGCAGATCCCGAGCATTCCCCGCAACAGGCTCCGTCCCGCCCCTCCCCTCGCCGGGCTTCTGGAATCGCGCCCGGAGGAGGGAGGGGGGTGCTGAGAGCCGAATGGAAACCACTGCCAGTTAGGGTGGGGCGGGCCTGTGGGAACCTGCAGAGGGCCCGGCTGCGCAGTGCGCGCGGGAGGGAGCAGGAGCCGATCAGGCCATAGCAGTAATACTGGCTGCAAGACATCATGTAGCAAAGCAACAAGGTTCCTTGTACACTGGCAAGAGCCAGGAGAGTTAAGGGGAAACGTGCAATTAAGAGTTAAGTTCACCCAGTGTTTTAGAGCGGTTGTTAAAAATGGGCAAGTAAAATATCATGATTATTATAAACATCAGGGGGAGGGATAGCTCAGTGGTTTGAGCATTGGCCTGTTGTGAGTTCAATCCTTGCGGAGGCCATTTAGGGATTCGAGGCAAAAATTTATGGGGGAGGATGCTATGAAGGCAGGGGACTAGACTCAATGACCTTTCAAGGTCCCTTCCAGTTCTAGGAGATAGGCAATCTCCATTAATTTAATTCTTAATTTATCACTCATGGTAAAGGATGAGAGTGAGTTTTGCATCTGGGTTGGGAAACTTTGATGGCAGTTTGCCTGAAGTACAGGCAGTCCCCGGGTTACGTACAAGATAGGGACTGTAGGTTTGTTCTTAAGTTGAATCTGTATGTAAGTCGGAACTGGCGTCCAGATTCAGCCGCTATTGAAACTGACCAGCAGCGGCTGACTACAGGAAGCCTAAGGCAGAGCTGCTCTGCCCCGGGCTTCCTGGAATCAGCTGCTGATCAGTTTCAGCAGCAGCTGACTTGGGGACGCCTGGG